AGTGGGACGGGGATTCGAACCCGCGACCCTCAGATTGCGAGTCGAGTGCCTTAACCACCTGGCCATGCCGGGCCCCACCAACAATGCAATGTAGTACTCCTAAACCAAGCTTTACTTTATAAATGAATACGAAGAAAAAATTTTTTTGACATAAATGGTCATCATATTTTCCCAACCATTGTTACAGTATTACCATCTATTTTTTTTTTTACTGATTTCTGATTAGCAGAAATTTATAAAAACAACAACAACAACTTCTGTTCCCACCTGACGAAGATGTGGCTCTAAAGTTGCATGATTAAATCCAATGCAATTAAACGTTGTAAACACTACAAGACAATCCAAGCCGATTCCGATATTTTTGTAAAATTTGAAGAGCTCTCCTGATTTCTTGGGCATTTTGGAACTATCTGGAAAAACATAAAATGTAACATAACTTTTCTTATACGAAACCGTTAACAAACAATAGGAAACATCTCAAGATATATATTAAGTCACTAAATGTTATAATTAATACTTGAAAACTGTCGGTACTTGGTGAAACTATAATTATAGAATTGAGGGAAACAAAGACATTTTACGTTACACTAATGTTTGATTGATTACAACCATGGTTTCGTCGGTAACGGCGATGTTAATTATGGTGATGCCTTTACTAGCGAAATCATAGTCGTAATAAATAAAATATTTGTGAAATAACTAATTCAGGGAGGGTTGAGGGTTATACGGAGAAATCAAGTCAAATCTTTTTACTATAACTTAGTAGTGCCTTAATTTCCATAATGTATTTGTAGTTTAATAAAAGAATGGTATCATTACCTAACTCAGGAAGGACAAAAAATATGACTATGCCATCTAGAAGAAGAGCCACTCCTGCTATGATGAAAGGAAGTTCGTAGCCACCTACCTGAAATATTCAGAGATAAAGTAAAAAACGTTAGTAACGAGAGTTATGACTTAGATAGTTATAAGGCGAGAGTGTTAAATTCGATATTTTTTTATATGCGATAATATATCTCAGGTTTGCTTATGTAATTATTTACGAATCATTTGTTGTGTAGTTCAATTATTGTGAATTCACGTCAGGTTACTCGAACCTTTCGAATTTTCCTCGTTGCTTTGAGTGAGTATTGTTACACCAAAACGTCTCGTAGGTTATAGACAGTTCTAGGCCTCAGTTCCATATATGCAGGCAAACAAGTTATGTAAGTAGGCTACTGAAAACAAAAGTGAAAAAAGTGACGTTAGACTGCGTGATTGTGAGTTTAGCCACAAAAAACATATTGTAATGACAGAGATAGAGAGGAATAATGAAGGGTGTTCTAAAGCAATTGACCCCACCTGTTTGGACTTTGACGAAAAGAAGGCAATTATCTGAAGTTCTGGATAAAACTGTGATAATCAACAGTTATAGTGGTGAGTTTAAAGTGAGTATCATAGCCTTGTATTGTAATAACAGAGTAGAGGAGAATAATATGTTTTGTCAAAGGGTGTTTTAAAGTAATTGAACCCATTTGTGGGGCCTTTGACGAAAAAAAGAGACAATTATTTAAAGCTCTGGATGCAACTGTGATAACCAATAGTGTAACGAATTCTTGTACATACGTTTGACTTGTTTTGAATATATCATTTCAAAACAAGTGGATTGTGTGCTGTCCGTTTATTGTTGAAATTTATCGCCAAAAAATCACAGACACCTATTGTAAATAATGCGGCTCTATAAAAAAACCCAACATACGGGACATTTAAATAAACAAAATCATATTGTTTGGGGGTTAGAATTATAGCGTCATTAAACACCGATTCCTGCCATTTCGTGAGTGCATTCTGCAAAGTTGATAACTCGATCAATTTAAAAAAAATTGGCGTGGTGATTTACTTCATATCTCCTGAATAAACTCAAAAATAAAATTTAGTTGTTTAGTAAAGTATAAATTTGTATAACAATTATTTATGTATATATGTATAACACAACAATAATC